CCACAGTGTCCAGTGAGCACAACTTCCTGTTTTAATGTAGGAGAGCGCAACGAACACTTTGCTCCCTCTGCTGGTTGAGTTTAAACGCTTGTTACATGCAGTTATCTCTGCAAGTGCGTTGTTCATTTGCGTTAACTTCAGTACGAGCTTGCCTTGGAATTTGAAATGTGTAAAATTATTTGTATATAAAATACAGAGAAATTAAAGAGGGCTTATAGTTATATATTTGCTCAAGTTTAAAGCTAACAATATTCTATCAAAATATAAATGTTTATTTAAATATGAAATATGATTAAATGTAATGTAACACCTGTTTAAAACGCATTGATACGCTCAAGAGTGATTTGTTAGATGTCTAAAAGGTTTTGAATAATGTCTGGGATTTGTAGCTGTTTTATATTCAGAGGAAAACTGTGGTAGTGGGATTAATATTAGACATAAAACACATTTCAGACATGATTTTTAATTTTCAGCACTAATTCAAAAGATAATCTTCATCCATAAACGTAAACAATTTGTTCTTAAACATACATGTTAATTATAGTATAAAATTGTATCGGAGTTTAATTACCTGTACTGTGATTGTCATTTTAGTTTAAAGCATTCGTAACCAAAAGAATATCTATTGTTTAGTTCACCATTTTCAAGCCAATGTTTCTAGTTTAATCTGTTAGTCAACAACTGTTTTAGCATAAGTAAATGCATACACCCCATTACCTTTTTCATGCTTATCATTTTCTTTGTGCCTTTGGGAGAGAAAAAGTAGGTTAAAGTTCAAAAGGATGCTCGGAGATTTCCTCTTATTTAAAGAAGAGAGTGTTAACTTGCAGATCTTTATTCACATGTTATAATTTCTAAATAGTATTTAGAGAAAAAAAAAAGATCGGTTGATAATTGGTTTGCATCTACTTTTTAATAAGCATACTCCAAAATAAACACAAGATGAACTCGTGGATAGCATTATGCGGGAATGCTGAGGGAAATGCTCTTTGAAGCCTAATACAATGGTGCACATACAGCCCACTGTGGAATAGTGGGGGGTGAGTGAACCCGGGGTCAGAGGTCACCAAAGCCTTCTGTCTCTCACTGACCATAGGATTTATTCCCATAAAGCCAGTGTGTCTTGCATTCAAACTATTTTTAGGAAACTTTTTGAAGACATGTAATGTCTTGAGATTTGCGTTTCCATGATTCCCAGACTGTGATGAGCAGTACTCCAGTTATTTCTAGAGCTAAGGGAGATAATCAGAGAGATTTTGTGCAGACTTTCCTTCACCCCCACCCCCAACAAGAAAAAAGGGATGCTCTACAATTTCATGCATGACATACCATTTTGTTGTCTGCTTTGAGTGGCGACATGGGTTCAGTGTGAAACATCTGCGCAGTAAGATATTGAGACCTTAAGGATAAAACACCTTCACCTCATTCTTCACTTCTGCCATGATCAGGTATGTGGACCATTAAATTTAATGCACAAATGTCTGTTTATGCACTAATTGTATTTGTTCATATTAAATTAATTAAATTAAATTAAATTAAGTTCATATTAAAAGTGTCCTATAGGCTGTGGTTTTTGGGTTGCCACTAAATCTAGATATCAAACTGCTGGCTTACGCTAAGTAAAGCTTCGCCATGAAAAACATTAATGTAACAAATCAGAAACACTTTTTTATTATAATCAGTAACGTAATTGCTTTATAAATCCTCAATGCCAAAAAATACAAATTAGCAGTCAGACCAAATCATGTGAAAGTGGTAAAAGGAATATAGGAGAGCGGATGTGAGTCGTGGGGGGATTGAGTGAGTTGAGTTGGGGAGGAGGAGGCTCGCGAGGCCCATCATCACATGACGAGACGTTCGCGCCTCTTTCGTAAACCTTCTCCAACCTGATGATCCTAAACAACTCGGAGGTTACGCGTTAGTTTAACTTCTGCGGAGGCCTTAAACGCGTCGACTTTATGGCGTCGCGACCAGCGTTCACGCGTGGGTCTGTGCTGTGGCGAGAAATGACTGTGGGAACTTTGAAATTGTGAGAGTGTTTGTCGGTGGGACAGGCTTTGTGTGGGTGGAGAAGCTGGGGAGCTAACAGACAATGTAGGTGATGGATCAATTAATGGACTCTTGAGCGCTTAGATATTATATTTGGAGGTGTTTGTTTGTCTTAACTAAGCGCATGTAAGTGAAATTCGTTTTTAAAATAATGATACTAGCAACCTCTGACGACTGTATCAGGGAAATGTATCAAGGCGTGATTCTCAAAGTCATTTGTTGTGATTATTTTTGGAAAGGAAATGAAACAATTAAGCCCGGCTTTACACTATTTGCTGATTAATATTTAACCCGTGTTACTAACAGTTTGTGTACAGTCGAGTTATAACCTACCTTGCTGAGTTAAGTTAAATCTGGACCCTGTTTTTAAATGTCTCTATTGTTGAATAATTTTAAAGACTGCAAAACTTGAATTTGACGACGCTTTTTATTCCGTGTCTTTTTAAGTTTAGTATCTAAATATAGTATTAAAGTACGCAATCTCATACTTTAAAGTATTGGGAGTATTTCACGTGGCTCCGCAATTCTTCTCCATAGCAAGGGTCAGTCTATCAAAACCCAAACTCAGGTGAGAAACTATAGCTGGAATAAAGACGCATTTTTAACGCAAACACGTTCTGGAAAATGGCTATTGGCGCCCGTCCTTTAAAACCTCCTCAAATTTCCTCACACCTAACCCAGTTTTGTTGTTGTTTTCAGCTCTTAAAGACACTAGGAGTTCGTTTCCTGCTGAAAACACCCACTCTTATGCAAACAAGCTTTTCAGCTGCTTTGCTTAAATTGTAGCGTAATAAACACGTTCTATCGTTGAAGGGGCGATTAAACGTCAGCCTGTCGCCTTCTTGAAAGGACAGCTCGTGGGACACACAAGCAGAAGATCGGGCACCGACCTCAAGGCCTAGTTAATGTTTGCGGATTCGACCTCACGGACGGATATGAATCTAATGCGTTTTTTTGTCAGCCCCGGACGCCTGTGATTCGAAACAACGCGTATTGGGCTTGTCTGACTGTTGTGAAACGCATAAAAATGCAACTAAGAAATGAAATATTTAGACAACATGGCGTTAAGGAAACTACTTTTTAAAGGTGCCTAAGATTGAAGTTGACTCTCTTGGCAGTAGACGTATTTAGGCTATTTACTTCGCCTATATAACAGCAGTGAAGAGCTTTCAACAAGTTCTGCCTATCTTGAGTTGAAGAGCCTCCATTTTGAGAGACCCAATGAGACACGAGCAAAGCGCGCCAATCACGAGAATCAATGACGTTCAGCCAGACTCAAAACATGCTGGGAAGAATGTTGCTAAACATTCTAAAAAGAACTTACTAAAAAATGCGAACTTAGTCCAAAGTTATGTGTATTGATACGTTTTAACACTTTTTAAGTCAGTGTCATAAACGAGTCAAACATAAACTGCATAAACTTTGTAAACCTTTTGTATTCTGTTGCTGTGTATTTTAATGAATTGATTCTTAAGATAAGTCAGATGTTTTAATTAAGGAATGAAAGCATAATTATAAGATTGTTGATTGTTTCTCTTCCCCCCCCCCTCCTAGGACTGTTGAAGATTAATGAAGCATTTCCCTGAAACGAAGGAAAAGAAAGCCACCACAATACCTTCAATGAAAAATGTTACATTATTTTAATATGGCCTTCCTGCTAAGGTGCATCTTGTGTAGTTAGTGAAGTAGTATAGTATCTACTGCGCTAGATGCTCCTTTTGGCAGGAGTAGCTGTATATTCAGCTCATGGAAGCAAAAACCCGACTTCATTTGTTATTTAATTTTGTTTACATGCTCTACTCTGACATTATTATTCTATTAATTAAACTGCACAATATCTATTTTTTCTATGATCTATGTGAGTTTGTCCTGGCAGTTCCAAAGTGCACACAGTGCAGATAGTGCCAGTGAATCTACTGCAATGTTTGCACTTCAAGTATTGCCGGTCGCCTTCTGCCTGGCTCTCTGGAGCTGTGCTAGATGCTGCTGCTTATGGAAAAGCCCTGTTATGTGTGGTGAGTTTTGCAGGATTGCATCCAGCTTTATTACAACATGCTGTGCAAATCCATGCAAAACTCGCTGCACCAGGGACAAACTTCTTCTACAATCAAGATGATTTCCAAATGTTACAAATATATGCAGTTAGCTAGCAAGAACTTTTTATTTTATTTTAAATGCTTTCTGAGTTGCAAGCACTGCCATAATTATAAGACACAATCTATCAAATTAGCAAGAATACAAGATACATAGATTTCTACAGTATATTGATAAAGGACAACACTAATAATTTTAGACAAGAAAAGTATATATAAAATGTAATTGCATGTTTGTTTATGCTTTTCATGCAAATATTTGTCTTGCTGTTTCCGGGTGGATGACCCTGCAATTTTAATAGTGGCAAAAATCTTCAATAAAAATTGCACGGTATCCATCTGTAATCCGCTAGATTCCATTATCTGCGTTTTTTTTTCTTCTTCATTTTGAATATGTAAATGTGCTTCTTTAAATTGTTTGTAATTCTCAATAAAATGAGGATATTTATTATTCAACCTCGCCCCTCTTAGAATGAAATTAATTTCAAATATTTATTAGTGACTGTGCGTTGCAATAACCTTTACCAGCACCAGATGGCAGCAGATAGCTGGAAATGTGACAAATTGTGTTTGTTGTTTGCTCTGCATATTCAAATGAATTTGAAAATGTAAATTTGTTAGACACGTAATGTAGACAATGCCGGGAATCCAATCCCCTGCCGATATTACCACATTTCACTTTTTAACAAATTCAATTAGCATAAGACGTAATTGAAGATCTGGTCGGGAAAAAAAGTCAGTGAATTTTGTGTGGTTGCCCAGACTGGATCTTGGTCTCAGTGTGCGCATGACCGCAGCAGTGCACGGCATTCATAACGCGCCTCCTGGCTTCATAATCATAACTTTAATATCATCGAAAGAGTCCAATACCATACGGACTTCTTCTGTAACCGGTTCATTGAAATAATGCAAGAGTCATGTGTAAATCGCGCTGTCCTGCCTTAAACCGGGAAATGTGACCTTGATTTGTGAGCATGAAGTTTGGGTCTGTTAATGAGCTGGAGATGAAGAGCTCCACAGGACTCTCCTCACACTCACTTCAGTGATGCCGCCGCTGAATCCAGCACATCGCTTTCTGCTCACTTCAAGCAACGCAGATCGTTCATGCTCTCTTCATTTGCGCTTGTAATCAGATCTATCATCAGGAAGCCTTTTTGCGCCATATATCTCTTTACTTCAGCGCATTTGGACTCATAATGTCTAGACTGAAGTTGAACGGTGCACTGATTCTGTGCGTCCTGATGCTGCCGTTCTCTCGGCCGAACAGTCAGGTGCTGGACTGTCGCGAAGTGCGCTCGTCTTTTCAGTTTTTGTACCCGGGGATGAAATGGACCCCAGAAACGCCAGTCTCAGGTAAACCGAGCAATTCAGATCTTAAGTTATGTAACTTGTGTGAATTAAAATCTTTGTCCAAAAAGGTTTCAAAAGCAAAACACTGTCCAAAAGTTTTACCTGCCTTCTATAAGACTTGTCTTGTACTATTATTTTTAAACCTGACATAGGTAATGTGTGATACTGTATTTGTGTGTGGTTTTTATTTATTTATTAAGCCTATTTATTTATTGTCATTTTTGATAGCCTATTGAAATACAGTGCGCTATAGGCTCTAAATGATTTTATTGTTATTGATATTTTCCACGTAATAGCGTTTCGCAAAGTTTAAAGTAGATTTATGAAGCTTTAAAATTTACATTAATACACGATTGAGCCATATTCCAGTTGTACAGCATTGCAATGCTGTAAAAACCCATGAATAATCGAATAGAATTTATAAACATTCAGTATTAAAGTAAAACTGATGTCATAACGAAATAAAAAACGTATGGCGTACCGTTTCAACTTTTATTTAACTAGTAACTAGGTTTGTTGCATGTATTTTTTTAAAATTAGGCTATTAGTAATCCATCTGTGATTAGCATATTCTCCCAATTTCACTAGTATTTATTCATTAGATAGTAGTGTTTATAGCAGTGTTTGCTGCTAGTTGTTATTGTTATAGTAGCTTTTACTGGTAATAAGTTGCACATTTTTGCTATTGAATTCTATAGGGATCTATATTCCAATATCAACAATTCACCTTGGACTAATATATATTCCAGTTTTATTAGTATTAATAGATAGCTTATCTGTGAGACCATAATATCTATGCCAGTTACTAGCCAACAGTCTCTAATATGGATACTAGTCTATATTCATTTCTTACAAATTGAGATAGATACTTGGAATAGGTGCCAGCAACAATGCATACTAGTTAAAAGTGACTAGTTCATATCTGAACCACAAATCCCCATCGTATTCAATGGAAAAACATTTGTTACCAGTAATAACAAATAGTATACTTATCAGTATTGGAAAAGTGATTTAGAGTAGCAAATGAATAATTAGTGACTTACTGAACTGTTACTGTAGTGAAATTGAAAAGGATACTAATCACTATTGGCTTACCTATTAAAAAATACTAGTAACAAAAATGCATGCTAGTTATTTTTAGTTTAGTTTGCATTTCCTGTAGCTCATTTCATGGGGTATTATTTTCACCCTCTGCATGATTTGAAGCTCTATCAGTAGGTTGAAGATGAAATAATAAGTGTCCTGACTGGATTGTCATCTTCAGCTCTGAGCGGTGGCTGCAGAAGTAGCCCGAGGAGAGCTGTAAATGTATTTCTCTTAGCCATAACTAGTGTGAATTACCTGTCATGCTGGAGAAGGCAAATTGTGTTAGTCTGTTTATTGAGGTTGCTACATTTCCCAGCGGAGAGCTGAAGAGATAGATGAGTTGAGATGAATGACAGGATGGATGGCTGGCTATCTATTTGACATCTCCCCTTAGCTGCATGAAGCTTTAATTCTGTCTCAACTGGAGGCTGGAGAGAAGTGGGGTAGAAAGACAGAGAGTGGAGTTTGTTTGGCCCTCACAACAGAAATTCTGCTGAAAAGGATCTTGCTTTTCCCCAGTGACTGCATTTTGTTGTTAGGCTGCTTTATGTGCAAGTATCTTCATTTTTTCGCCTAGTGGTAGCAATTGCTTCAAAAAGAACTCTAGAAAAACTTATCACTATTCCAGTCATTCGCGTTTGCACATAAGTTAATTAACATTAAACGTTTTGCATTTTAAAATAAAAATGAATGACAAACAAGTTGTTTTCTTGATGCTGTACTCATATAACCATTTAAAAAGGAATTAAATTAAATACATTTTTTGACTTAATTTGAACCATGACGAGTCTTTCTAATGCCATGTGATTCAACTTGCAGGTAAATGGATGTAAAACCCGAGTGATCCCTATGGTTCAGCTGCTTTCAGGAGATATAGTGACCTTCCCAGTTCCATTTAATCAGAGGTGCTATTCATTTTTGCAGAGTTCGCATTTGCAATTTAAATGGATTGCAATTGGGTTAAGGACAAGGAACAGAGTGATATTCTCAGTCATTTGCCCTCTCAGAGGAATTTTAACACATTTTAACCTTTATCAGAGTTTAAGAAAAGTAACAGAGTGATTGCATTGCATGTCTTATTGGACTGCAAGAACCTGCATACTTTAAATTAAACGTGCCACTTTCAGTTATTACGAAAACTTACCAGATGGCATGCATAAGAAATGAAACTCATATATGTTGCAGTTTTCAGATGAATTTCTTTGAAAGTATTTTGGGATGGTTGTGCTCCTCCTCAGTAGCTGGTATGGGACTTCATTTCCTGATGGGTACAATCCTGCAATAAAGGCCTTTTTGAAGCCCTAGTTTTTTGAAACCTAAACATTGCTCTTTAGAGAAAGGACTAACTGTGAGTTTTTTTTCTTTCGGAAGTGTGCCGCAGGCGGTGTAGAGACCTGATAATCCCAGCGGCACCGGGCTCTGGACTTTATGCCTGGTGCAGTAATTAGTGGTGCAGTGAAGCCTTTGGCTTTATTCATTTAGATTCATTATATGAACCGATACCACGCGGCTCCAGCATATGTTGCCAGAAGCCTTAATTGGGTGTCCTTGTGTTATGTCAGACTATAAGAATGTGAGGTTAATTGTTTGGCCCTCTTATTTGGTATTGCTTTATGTGTTGGCCAAATGCATGTTAAGAGGCATACTTGTTTGTAAAAATGCCATAACAGATGTGTGAAAGAAAGAACTGAACTTAATAACTTTTCCCTTTTAAAGACGTAATGTCCTCGATAGAGATGTGTTCATATGAGTCCAATCATTACATTTCACAACAGCATAATTTAAACAATCTAATGACAGTTTGAGATGATTTTGTTAAGCCTCGTTCGTACACATTGTGCAAAGTGAGCCATCCAATTTCCTTCAAATGGAGCATCTATTCCGAACCCAGTGCACGTCGCTGGCCTTGAAGTGGCAAATGAATGTAGACAACCTTAATGTTAATTGGAAATGGGAACGACTTCGGGCCGTATAGTGTTGCTGTCACCTTCTAGTGATTTTATTTATTCCACAGAGAGTTTCACTCTCTCTCCCGGCCTGTTTGCAGATTTAATGCTTTGCTTGATTTGTATCGCATCTCATGTTCCGAGTTCCTGCAAGTCAGGTTTTGTTGGTTCCAAATGTTCGCATATGACTTCACTTGTGTTACAGAAACACACATTTATTTCAGTCTCTTTCTTGTATTGTAGATGTGGCGTTTACCTTCAGAGATCCCTTTTTCTCAACCACGCAACAGGCAGCTGCATACGCTGGCCTGTGACCCCAGTAAACCCGGTGGTGGGCTTTAAACTCGTGGTGATATTTGGGTTGATTTGTGATGGATGCAACTGCTGTGTTTCTGTTCAGCTGCCAAATGTGATCTCTACAGGCTTGTGTGAGTGGGATGTAGAGAGGAGGATCTTTAGCATGAGGAGGAGAGAGAGACAGATGGACTAACATTAGAGAGAAGAGAGGATGTGATGACTGATGTATCTACAATGGAATACAAGGAGGCCAAGCCGAGACATGCAGCCCGCAGGAAGTTCGAACTGAATTCTAATCATACCGCATGTAATGCCAGGGGGCCACAAGACCAAAAAAGCCAATGAGAGGTTCTCCCTTTCTCCACTGGCACGTCTTTTACATTTTTCTTTGTTGATGTCTCTCTCGCTCTTCCCAGCCTCCTCGCCCCAAGAGGAAGAGCTGAATGTCAAAGCACAATAGACAGCTGACTGTCTTTGTAGTCTCAAAGGCACCTTTACACCGGCTCGCACGGACAGTCATTACATCAATCTGACGTTTTGATGTGGCGTCCCCTGCAAATATTTTATTAGATAATGAGCGCTCAAAGAAGGATGACCGTTGTTAAACTCATAGGTTGAATTGAATAGTTTGGTGTCGTCGCTTTGGTTTCAACTGAAGAGACGGGCTGAGTAATGAGGGGTTCGGAGGGTTGAGTACAAAGTGAAGTCAGGGTCCATCTCTCAGCAGTCTCTTTGATCAACGTGAGATGTGAGGGAGCCGTATTTTTGTCCGTTGGTACTCACGAATGAGATCCAGCTAATGAAGTGCCACTGACCTCCCTCAAGAGCTTGTGTTAGAGGCTGTTAAGGGGCTTCTGTGCAGCTAGTTTTAATGTCAGTAATGGCAGAATGCATTACAGGGACACTTGTTCACCCCATCAAAGGCTAGATCCTCTCAGTGCAGACAGTATTGTTATTCCAATTATCAAGAGCAAGTCCTCATAGAAATGATAAACTACCCTGCTAAGCATGCCGTCTTATTTCAGCAAACGGAATTGTAAAATAGGGACACTTTTATTCTCGCTGTAGTATGGAAAATAATGTGTTTTTTGAACCTTAAACCGCATAAACACATTTCATTACACCAAATACACAAAATTATGTTCTTTTTAGCAACATCATATGACCCCTTTAAAAGTGCATATTTTTGTCTATTCAGTGTATTTATTTATAAATGTATTATTGTATGATAATTCAATATTTATAATTTCATTGCAATTATATTTATATATATTATTTTTAAATATTATTTTAGTATTTTGTATTATTGAAATTAATATTATTTGATATTATTTTTATGTAATAAATTAAATTATTACATAAATACATTAAATAATTATTTGTTATTATTATTAATAAAAATAATGTATTTTTTAATGCACATATTTTACATGAGCAGTGATGACTTCCTATATTCACATATTTAATGCTTGGAAGGATCTAACATTTTTAGCAGTATATGAAGTCCTTAAGAGACCTTAGTATAGTGTCAAGGGGCAGTAGACAGTGCCTCGGGCAGTGAAGTACCTTCATATTTTGATAAATGCCCACACAGTTTCTGTAATTATGAGATAATGGCTTAGGTCAATGTCTTTGGTAGTCCATTTAAAGTTGAAGTTGAGGGATCATATGCCC